GGTATTTAGTATTATGTATAAATTCTTCCCCAAACAAAATATTTTAAAATGTATCGCTAACATTCTGAAAAACGTGATCATGTAAATGTAGACAGTCTTAACTGCAAAATACACAAACTTAGCACTTTCTCTAACAAATTCAGGAATGAACAACACCCTTCATTTTTCAAAAGTAAAATTTCATTACTAATTCAAAGGCTCACCAGCACATCCTATATAGTTCAAGAAGCATTTAAAAAAAAAAACCACAAACAGACAGCAAAGATAGAAATAATTCCTTCCCCGATCCCAACTCCCACTAACATTCCCAAATCCAAACTGCCAAAGGCTCCTCATGAGATTTTCTCTACTGCTCTATTTTCCAGGGCTACTTTTCCATTCTCACTAATTTTTTTTAAATATGTGACTGCATCACTGAATAACAATGACTTCTGCATTTATGTTGATAGGAGGTACTCGGATTTGCATTCAAGCAGGATTAGAAGAATACATCAATAATTATTTACCCACCATTAAATGTAAAACCACAACACACAAGGAATTAATTTCTTTGCTAATAACTCTTACCTTCTACACACAAAAAGCTATCCCCTAAACAAGTTCTACAGACAGCTGAACTCACAGCTAATGTGTTTCTATCACTGACATTTTGTGCCATAGGAGGCCATTCAGCTCACTGCGTCTTCACCAGCTCTTCAAATGCGTATCATTACCTACTGTCAATATCTTGCTTTTACTCCATGCCCTTACATTATTTCTCTCCAAATAATTAGCCAATGCACTCTTGAATGCTTCAATTAAACCTCCTTCCATCACAGTTTCAGGCAATGCATTCTGTACCTAATACTCACTTTTGCAAATCACTTCAAATCTGTACCCTCGTTCCTTGATTCTTTTAAGAGTGGAAATATTTTCTCCCTACCTACTTTATCCAGCTTGCTTATGATTTTGAAAATTTCACAGAAGTCTTAGAATCATAGAATCCTTAGTGTGGAAGCTGGCCATTTGGCCCATTGAGTCCACACAGACCCTTTGAAGAACATCCGACCAGGCCCATCCCCCTACCCAATTGCCGTAACCCTGCTTTTCTCATGGCTATTCCATCCATTCCTGGACACTGGGCAATTTAGCATGGCCACTCGACCTAACCTGTACTTCTTTGGACTGTGGGAGGAAACCAGAGCACCTGGAGGACACCCAAGCAGAAACGGGGAGAATGTGCAAACTCCACACAGACAGTTGCCCAAGGGTGGGATTGAACCAGGTCCCTGGTGCTGTGAGGCAGTAGTGCTAACCACTGAGCCACTATGTCACCGGATTTCCTCTTAGCGTTTTTCTCTCCGAGAAGAGTGGTCTCAGCTTTTTCAATTGATCTTCATAACTGAAGTTTCTCATTCATGCACACAAAGCTGAAAGACTTTAATCAGGCTGTTACTGCCTTACTGTATCTCAAACTTAAATCGAAGACTCAGCTCTAACAATTTGCAGCATTTATTACAATAGCATCCACTGCATTGTTCCCCCCATTTGGTAACTCTTGAACAGCTACAGCCTTAAGCTAGCAATTCCACATACATTTGCAAATAATTCATTACCTCAGTGATTTCAAGTCTGCCTGACCTCTAGTTATCAGAGCGGACCTTTAGTGGCAGGTTTAGATTTTTTCTGTCGCCTTTGTGTTGCTTTCAACACGCCCAATGCACACACCCCTCACCCCACCTCTTGCCTCAGATGCAAACCAGCATCTCAGACTTTTGCTTCCCTAGACATACAACTCAGGCTTCTCTTTCCCCGGTCTCAGATTCACCATTTACTTTTTATTTGTTTTTTTCACGCTTAGTAGTGAGTGACAGTGTGACTGAAGAGAAAAACTGCTTATGATTGAAGAAGCAGATTGAACAGTCTGATTGTTCCAGGTAAAAGTGTCACTCTTCTAGAATAGGTGACCTGTCATCAAATTTCCTAGACACTCTTAGAAGAGAATTTGCCACTGCCTCCATGTATTTTGAGCACTGGTCTGGAGGGTGGGGGAACAGGGGGAGAAATCTGATTTGGTGAAGGGTAGGTAAGGTTGCGTAATGTGTTTCTAGTTTATTGTCTGTTATTGGCAAGGTTCACAATGGCAGAAGAACTTGACACTGTGAAATGCTCATCCTGCAATATGTGGGAAATTAGGGACATTTCCAGTGTCCAAGGTGACCACGTATGCAGAAACTGTGTTCAGCTACAGCTCCTGATTGACCAAATGGACAGGCTAGAGCTGTGGAAGAACTCACTATGGAGAATCCGTGATGCTGAGGATGTCGTGGATAACATGTTTAGTGAGCTGGTCACACCACAAGTATGTGGCACCAGGTTGGCTCTGCTGCAGAGCAGAAAAAAAACTGGACAGCTTTAGTGATAGGGGACTTGATTGTAAGGGGAAGTGACAGGCAGTCCTGTGGCTGCAAACAAGACTACTGAATTGTATAGTGCCTCCCTGGTGCCAGGTCAGGTACTTCTGAGAGCAGCTGCTGGTCATTTTGAAGAGAGAGGGTGAACAGTCAGCAGTTGTGGTACATGTCAGTACTAATGCCATGTATAAAAATGAAAAAAAAAGGGGTCCTACAACAGGATTTCAGATACTTAGGTAGTAGATTAAAAAGGAGGACTACTGAGGTTGTAATCTCCGGGTTACCCCCAGTGCCATGTGCTATTGAGTATAGGAATAGCAAGATAGGTCAGTTGAACATGTTGCTAAAGCGATGTTTAGGAGGGAGGGCTTTAGATTTTTCGATCATTGGGACAATTTATGGAATCCTGTACAAGTTGGACTGGTAGCATCTGAACCATAATACCCTTGCTGGAAGGTTTGCTCATGCTTATGGGAATGCTTTAAACTAACCTGTCAGAGGGATGGGGCAGACAATAGATGTTGAATCGGGAGCAATGTTCAGTGAGACATAGAAGGAATACTAGGACAAGGCTAGTCTAGCAGGGGGAGAAGACATGGGCATGATAACGCACGTGGGAGGACCCGAAAGCTAAACTGTATCTGTTCTAATGCAAGGAGACTAACTGGTAAGGCAGGTGAACTTAGAAATAAAAGAGAGTTGATCACTTTGCTGGGAATATACTACAGGCCACCTAAGAGTCAAAAAGGGAGACAGAAGAGCAGATAAATAGGCAAATCACAGAGACATGTGACAGGAATAGGGTCATAGTTGTAGGGGGCTTCAACTTTACTAACATTAACTGGGGTTACCATGGCGTGAAAGAATTAGACTGGGTGGAATTTTAAAATGCTTCCAGGGGAGCTTTCTGTGCCAGTATAGAGATGGTCCTACTAGAGATGGGGCAGTGCTAGACCTAATCCTAGGGAACTAAACCAGTTAAGTGGGTGAAGTGTCAATGGGCTAACATTTTGGGGATAGTGAATATAACTTTGAAACTTGAAAAGTTATTATGGGAAGGCATAAGCTTAGCGCGTACGTTAAGAGTCCTAATTGGGGAAAGGTCAATTTCAATATCATTAGACAGAATATGGCAAACACAGCAGGAGCAGCTACTTGCAGGTAAGTCTATATTTGGAAATTAGGAGTCTTTTACAAATACTATACTGAGAGTTCAGGGCCAGTGCATTCCTCTAACAGGAAGGGCAAGGGTAGCAAGTCCAGGGAAATTCAGAGTTTGATTAAGAAAACAAAAGGAAGCATTTGTTAAGTTCAGAGGAGGCTCTTCAGGAGTATAGAGATTGTAGAATGCGATTCCCTACTCCCAATTCTTCCGCCTCTGCCGCATCTGCTCCCAAGATGGGGTGTTCCATTCCCAAACATCCCTGATGTCCTCTTATTTCAAGGACTGCAACTTCTCCCTTTCAGTGGTCGAAAATGCTATCGACTGCATCTCTTGCATTTCCTGCACCCCTGCCCTCACATTCCCTCCCTGCAACAAAAACAAAGACAGAATTCCCCTTGTCCTCACGTATCACCCCACTAAACTCCGGATTCAACGTATCATTCTCCGTCACTTCTGCCACCTGCAATTTGACCCCATAACCAAAGGATATATTTCCCTCCCCACCCCAATCTGCCTTCCGTAGGGACTGCTCTCTCTGCGACTCCCTCGTCTGCTCCACACTCCCTACTAGCCCCACCACCTTTCCCTGCAACCACAGGAAGTGCTACATCTGCCCCTACACCTCCCACCTCACCTCCATCCAAGGACCCAAAAAAACCTTTCACATCAGACGGATGTTCAGTTGCACATCAGCTAATGTGGTCTACCGCATCCACTGCTCCCGCTGTGGCCTCCTCGACATCAGGGAGACCAAGCAGAGGTTCGGAGACCATTGCGTAGTGCATCTGCGCTCTGTTCATGACAAACGATAATACCTTCCGGTCACCAACCATTTTAACACCCCCTCCCACGCCCTGGGCGACATGTCCATCCGGGGCCTCCTCCAGAGTCACAATGACCCACCCAAAAACTGGAGGAGCAGCACCTCTTATTCTGCCTTGGGAACCTACAACCCAATGGTATCAATATGAACTTGACTAGTTTCAAAAGCTCCCCACCCCTGGCCTCATCCAATGACCTCCTTCTCATCCCCATCTCCTTGACCTGTCCGTCTTTTCTCCCACCTATTTGCTCCTCCCACCTCACTGATCAATCCCCACCCCTGCCTACCTGCATCACCTATCACCATCCCACCTACCTTCCCCAGCCCCACCCCTCCTCTATTTATTTCAGAGCTCTCTTCCCCCTCCCCCATTTCTGAAGAAGGGGCCAGACCTGAAATGTCAGCTTTCCTGCTCGGCCTGCTGTGTTCATCCAGCTCCACACTGTGTTATCTCTGACTCTAGCAGCGGCAGTTCTTATTATCTCCTAAAGATTGTAGGGGCCTGCTTAAAAAAGTCACATTTGGAGGGCAAAGAAGGAACATAAAATACCTTTGGCAGATAGATTAAAGGAGAACCCCAAGGCATTTTATGAGTATATTAATAACAAGAGGATTACTAGGAAGAGTGGGGTCTAATAGAGACCAAAGGGGCATTCTGAGTGTGGAGCCAGAGGACATGGGTGACATCTTAAATGAATATTCCTCATCTGCATTCGCAAGGGACAAGAAATGTTGTAGCTGGAGGTTTCAGCTGAGGTGGTGAGGTTCTAAAGCATGTTAAAATTAATAAAAGGAGGTAGCACTAAATGTTTTAACAGGCGTTAAAGTACATAAATCCTCAGGGTCTGATGTGCCATATCCCAGGCTGCTATGGGAGGCAAAGGAGGAGATTGCTGGGGCTCTGGTGGAAATATTCAATACTTTGCTGGCCACAGGTGAAGTGCCAGATAGCTAATGTGGTTCTTTTATTCAAGGAGGGCAGTAGGATTAGGCCAGGTAATTAGAGACCAGTTAGTCTGACTTCAGTGGTAGGGAAATCATTGGAAAACATTTTGAGGGATAGGATTAATCAATAATTGGAAGGCAGGGATTGATCAAGGGTAGTCAGCACAGATTTGTTGCAGGAGATCTGTCTGACTAACTGAGTTTTTCAAAAAGATGACTGAATATAGTAATGAGGGTAGTGCAGTTAATGTGGTTTACATGAACTTCACCAACACCTTTGACAAGAATAGTTGTGGAAGGCTGGTCCAAAAAGGTAACAGCCCATGGAATTCAAGACAAATTGGCAAAGTGGATCCAAAACTGGCTTATAAAGTGGAAACAAAGGGCAATCATAAGATGTATTTTTTGTGATCAGAAGCCTGTGACCAGCAGTGTACCACAAGATCAGCGCTAGGATCCTTGCTGTTTGTTTATGAACATTAATGATTTGGATGTGAACATACAAGATATAATTTGTGAATTTGCAGATGACATGAAAATTGGTGGTGCTGTTGATAATGAGGAGGATGGTCTCAGGATATGGTCTGATATTGATCAGCTGGTAAATTGGCTGGAGGGATTTAATCCCGTTAAGTGTGAGATGACGCATTTTGGGAGGTCTAACAAGGGAAGGACATACACAATGAATGGTAGGTCCCTTGGGAGTACTGAGGAACAGCAGGACCTTGTTTTAAAAGTCCACAGATTGCTGAAGGCATCAGCACAGGTAGAAAGGATGGTGAAGATGGCATATGTGATGATTGCTTTCTTTAGCTGGTGCATAGAATATAGGAAAAAGGAAGTCTTATTGCAACTTTAATTAGCATTGACTAGGCCATAGATGGAAACTGTGTGTAGTTTTGGTCACCAGACTATTGAATGGATGTGTTTGCACCACTGAAGGTGCAGAGGAGATTCACCAGGAGGTTGCCTGGTTTAGAAAGTCTCAGTTATGAGGAAAGAATGGAAAGGCTGGCTTTCTTTTCCTGAAGCAGAGGAGACTCATGGAGGATCTGATTGAGGTATGCAAAATTGAGTGTCATGGATCAGGTAGATTGTGAGAATCTTTTCCCCATGGCAGATGTTTCTAAGACTGGAAGTTCAAGGTGAGGAGTAAATTGTTTAGAGGAGATCTGAGGAAAAACTTTTTCATCAACAGGATAGTAGAAATATGGAATATGCTGCCTGTCAGAGCAGTGGAGGCAGGTACTCTTGCAACATTTAAGAAGCATCTGGACAAGCACTTAAAACACAAGGACATAGTTAGCTATGCGCCAAGTGCAGGTAAGTTGGATTAATATTGTTTGGTATTTGTTGGTCTGCTTCTTCACTGCATCGTTCTATGACTATGACTCTTTAGGATCATTTTTGTTGGACTACAAAGGTACACTGATAATGAAAATCTCCCTTTTCTTAAAATAACTGCACAAAATTCATTAAGGCAATCTAAAAATCAAAATCACTAGATAAAAACAAATCGTATTTGAGTTCATTCACAAGATTCCAAAGCTGCCTTAATCAAACTACACTTTTGCAGACTGTTTGAGGAACTCAAACAGCTGTAGAGTGCTATCAATAATTTAAGACATGAGATATTCTTGCTATCCTTAGGGTTGCAGAATCATGTGTAACCTGCATGATGTAACATTTTTGGAATGATTTATTATGTTCAGTGTATGAGCCTTTCCAAATATTCAGTGAAAATTAAGTGACCTGATGTAGTAATGTTCCACTAAAGTGGAGTTGACAGAAAATCCATAGGATCATTTGTATTGACTTCCAATATCAATAGTCTGTAGTAGACATATATTAGTCTCATAACTTCAGTACTCCTACTGGGAGTTATTGGTAAATTGTAATCTTAAATTATCAGCAATCTTGGATTTACCTGCAGGTGAGACATGAGGACAACTGCTCATTTTCAACAATTTCAGAGTGTCACTGTTATTTGCCACCAAAACCTTAAGAGATGGATCATCCACTGGTGTGTCATCAATCTTGATCGATGACAGTGATTTTGAGTTCACAAACACCACAGTCAGGGCTGACACAAAACGCGACTGTAAACACAAAGCAAAAGCTGTTTAATTTCAGTTGTTAAAACAAAAAAAATTGTTCCTCCACAACGGCGCAGCAAGATCTGAAAACAAAATTAAAAAGCTACCTTTGACAAGTTCATGAAACTAGGTCTTGCTGTAGAGATCAGCCCCAAGGTCTTTATGGAACAGTTGACCAATTGTGAAAGAATATCACAGGCTGCTTCTGCAGACTCAGTACTACTGTCAACCTGGAAAAATAAGAAAGCAGATTTAAAAGACAAAAAAACTGAGCTGAACATTGCAATGAACTCCATAATTTGGAGTAAAACTAGATATATGTTGCAGAAAATCATTAAAAGAGTGACAAGAACATTAAAAGAAAAGTTTTGAGGAAAGGTCACTGGACCCAAAACGTTAACTCGGATTTCTCTTCACAGATGCTGCCAGACCTGCTGAGCTTTTCCAGTAACTGATGTGTTTTAACAAAAACAGAAATCTGGACAGTATTCAAGATTTTGTTAGGATTGGTTATTAGATTAACTGGATGCATTGTCTGACCCTTGTGGTGTCTTGATCTTACATAAATAACCATGGAAACATAATTAAAATATTGAGGCATAATGATTGAGATTAGTTTCACACTTTATATATAATTTGTCTGAAGAAACTGCATATTGCCTTACAGACTCTTCAGACAATTGTTTTTATGTAGCTCAATGTTACCTTTCACATAGATGCACTGACTGTGCATCAGCTAATCTGAATTGTTCAGAAAGCACTGAATTTCAATCCTGCCCAACACTGACAACTGTAACAACTTTCCCTTATATAGCACCAAATTGTAGCAAGTGCGCCCCATGGCACTTCATATTAGCAAAGAATTTTAATAATTAATCACAAGAATTACTAGCATAGGTTACAAAAAGCTTGATCAAAGAGATAGGTTTTAAAGAAGCATCATAATGGACAATGGTGATGAGATTTAGGGAAGCTATTCTAGTAACTTTGGCCTACGCACTGAAAGATACAGCTGTCAATGATGAAATTATTTTGTTTTTCTTCATTTATGGGATATGGGAAAATCAATGGATTTATTGCCCATCCCTAATTAGCCTTGAGAAAGTCAGGGTAAGCTAGTTTCTTGAACCACAGCAGTCCATTTGGCAAATGTGCACCCACAGTGCTGCTGGGGACGAAGTTCCAGGAATTTGACCTAGCCAGACTGAATGAGCAGTGACATTTTTTCAAGGCAGAATGGTGAGTGGCCATGCGTTTGGAAGATGTTGTCTAAGGAATGGTGAATTTCTGCAGTCTATCTTGTAGATGGTTTACACTGTTGCTACTGAGCATCAGTAGTGTAGGCAGTTCATGTCTGTGGATGTGGTGTCAATCAAGTGGGCTGCTTTGTCCTTCTTGGAGCACAGTATTGTGTGCATTTCTGATCACCACACTAAAGGAAGAATGTGGAGGCTTTAGAGAAAGTGCTTAGGAGGTTTACAAGGTTGTTGCATGGATTGGAGTGTATTGGCTATAAAAGGAGAGGTTGGACAAACTTCAATTATTTTCAAGTTGATAGGGTTGTTAAGAAGGCATATGGAGTGTTGGCTTTTATTGGCAGGGGAATTGAGTTTTAAGACTGCAAGGTTATGCTGCAGCTCTATAAAACCCTGGTTAGACCACACTTGGAATATTGTGTTCAGTTCTGGTCGCCCCATTACAGGAAGGACGTGGAAGCTTTAGAGAGGGTGCAGAGGAGATTTACCAGGATGCTGCCTGGACTGGAGGGCAGGTCTTATGAGGAAAGGTTGAGGGAGCTAGGGCTTTTCTCATTGGAGCAAAGAAGGATGAGAGGTGACTTGATAGAGGTGTACAAGATGATGAGAGGCATAGATAGGGTGGATAGTCAGAGAATTTGCTTCAGTGAACAGCTTTCCTGCTTCTTCCTTATGGGCCCCATTCTATCCTTCGCTAATGTTTTAGTATTTCCATGTTTGAAGGACATTTTATGATCTGTTTTAGCGCATCCATTCCTCATGTTTTCTCTTAGCCTTCCTTAGTTCAGCCTTAGCATCTATCCTACATTTGAGATACTCTTCCTAATTTCTGTTGCTGTTGTTATTCTAGTATGCATCTTATGCTTTCTTTTTCTCCCTTGTCTTTTAATCAATATCCTGTCCTCACTGCCCCAAACTCTGCCCTCAACCCTTCACCTTTTTCCAAAACTTTGAAACTTTACTTTCCACTACACCAATTTCTATATTCAAAAGACTGTCATTTCTATCAGTTCCAGCAGGGTATCATCAATAAACACACCTCCCCCTCCCTTCCATGACACCTTGGTCCACTCTTCCATCATTCTTAGCACGTCCCCACCACCCACACCCAGACCCCCTATCCACCCTCCCATGCAACTGTAGAAAGTCTGACACCTGACTTTTCATCTCCTTCCAGCTGCTTGCCATTTCAATAAACCAACTTGCCCCCATGTTGGCATTTCCATCCTAGGTTTGCTGTAATATTGCAACAAAGCTCAGTGCAAGCTGGAGGAACAACACCTCATTTACCAGTTAGGCATCTAACAGTCTTCAGGACACAATGTTAAGTTCCACAACTTCACAGCATGACCTCTGTCCGCTATTTTAAATCACAACTCCACCCTCGCTATGTCTTGTTTGCTTCCAGTGTAGTGGACCCATTTTCTCATTTTCATTCCTATCATTTACACCTGTTTTAAACTTCTAACACTCCTTTATCAACATTAGCAGTCCCTTTGTCTTTTGTTTTGGGCACCTTCACCCATTGTTCCACTTGTTCATCATCCCTCTATCAACAGCATAAAATCAGCATTTTCCACCCCTTTCAGTTCTGAAAAAGTGTCATATCAGATTCAGAACATTAACTAACTGATTTTCTCTCCACAGATACAACCTGAACTGTTGTGATTCTCCTGCATTTTCTGCATGCACAGTATTTTGCTTTTAATTCATGCCACTGAATGTACTTTTGCTATGGTTCCTTAATGTTACACTCTCTTAAATAAAGGCCTTGGCAACAAGGGCAACCCCCATTATCTCTCCTCTGGAATTCTGTCCTTTTGTCCATGTTTGAACCAAGGTGTTAATTAGGTCAGACTCAGAGTGGTCTTGTCAGAACCCCAAATGAGTGTCAATAGCAGATTATTGCTGAACAATTGCTGCTTGATACTCCATACCTTCCATTATTTTACTGATGGTCAAAAGTGGACTAATGGAGCAATAATTGGCTAGGTTGGGTTTATTCTGTGTTTTGGGGACAGGACATAGCTGGGAAATTTTCCCTAGTGTTGGGCTGATGCCAGTATTGTTGCCATTATGGAACAGCTTGGTGAGTGAACAGTAACTTCCATAGCAAACGTCTTCAGTACTACTTCCAGAATTTGGGAGGAAGATTTGCAATATCCAGTGCCTCTAGCTGTTCCTTGATATCATGTGGTGTGAATCGATTAGTTAAAGAGTGGAACTGTGATGCTGGGGACTTCTGGAGAAAGTGGAGATGGATCCTCCTATTGCACTTCTGGCTGAATACTGTTGCAAATGCTTCAGCCTTATCATTTTCAATGATATGTTGGGCTTGCTCATTAGTGTAGGCCTGATATTTGTAGAGATTTCCCCTCTCATGAGCTGATTAATTGTCCACTAGCATTCATGACTTGATGTACAGGATTGCAGAGCTTAGATCTGCTGCCTTAGTTATAGAATTGCTTAGCCCTATCACTTACTGTTTATTGCCGTTTGTTTATGCCGTTAATCCGGTGTTTAACTTCACCAGACTGACATCCCATTCAAGATAGTTGACACCATCCAAGTAAAAACAGCTCTGTTGGCAAGCGCCCCATTCAGGATTTCAAGCAATTGCCAACATCACATGACAGAAGTGTGTACCAGTAATTTGTCAAGGCTTCTTCAAAGCACCTTCTGAATCTGCAACCTCAGCTACTAAGAAGAGTGTTGTGTTCAGTTCCAGTCACCACACTTGAAGTATGCAAAGGTCCTTGAAAAGGTGCAGAGGAGAATTACCAGAATACTTTCAGAAACAAAGAGATATTAGTGGATAAATATATTAACAAGTAAATTCCCGAGCGACCTCCTATGATAGGAATTCCACATGAGGGCATAATATCAAAACAGATTCCATGCAACAGTTGTTGAAATATGGCATTTTCTCCTAGTCTGCAAAGGCTCAACTGAAAATTACTTTCATTCCTGAAGTGTGTAAACACAGTATATGTTCAGATACACATCGCTGAAAGTCTGTACACTCATTGTAGATAACTACATTTATAACTTCAGTTTCTATCTCATACTACTGACCCAATTATTTAGCAAAATTAAGCAGAAAGCTTAATTAAACTCTCATTCATATTCTTGTATGTTTTGTCTCAGCAAATTAATTTATTAATATGCAATTATTTAGTTTGGTCTTTTATTTTCTTTGCCCAATAGATTTTTTTAAAAATCAGTTCCTCCTTTAAAGAAACATCTATCTGCATTTTTCTTCATTCCTACTTTAGACAGTGGATTTGGAGCTTTTACTGTGGCTATCTGTCAAGTTGCCGAATTTTGCAACTTCTTGTTATAATTTTTTTTTAAATAGGAGTTAGAAATTTTATTTTACCTTAAAGCTAACGTACTGCAGATGATCTGCATGCTTTTTTATTATCTGTTGGATCAGATCTGGGTGGGTTGATTTCAGATAGGATGTGGCTGGCTGGCTCAGTTCAAACTCAAATCGTCGCCACAGCTCAGGCATGTGAAAGACTTCATTCCACGTTCTACATACTGATGATGCGTAAGCCCGATCCACCAATGGTAGGTACTGAAAAATGTGCAGGATCACATCGTAGTGTAGATTTCCCCAATCTACATGACGTGCACTCAAAGTCTCACTGGTTGGAGTCAAGCTGGTCTTTCGTCTCTTTTTTCCTTTATCAGCATCTGGAGGAGGCTGGGTCTCAACTTTTTCGTTTACTCTATTTTGCTTCATTCTGAAAAAGAGAAAAGCTAATATTATTTAACTTCCTCAATGGAAAGTGCTCACATTCAACTATGGTTAGGAAATGTTGGATACAGATGACTAGCTTTGAACCTAGCAGTGTATTTAAACAAAAATCAGACTAGTCTGTGGAATTATGTAGTTTCATAAGATAAAGATGGGATGTGACATCAAGTTTATCATCAGCAAAGCTATTGGTTAACAGGTAGCATCAAAGTATTTTAAAATTTGAGTGTCTTGTCTCCTATCAGATATTACATAAAAAAAAAGGTTTGATTTTACATGGAAAATTGAGAAGTGGAATTAATTATTCTCAATATTGCAAGAAGCTAAAAATACTTTCAATGATGAGTCAATATTTAATAAATGCATATTTCTTGATTGACAGTTTACTTTTTCACAGACAATATTGGATCAACAATGTGAAGATTAAAAATGAAAGCATTTGAAATATTTGAATAAGTACAAGTTTTCACCAGCATTATTTGGTTCACATTGACATTTTGAATTAATACTGTATTTAAAAATGCAAAGATCAAGTTGAGCAAATTACAACTAAAGTGTGGGTTGGATGCACAAATAAAAACCAGAAACATGCACGTACAAGAAAAAAAACTGTCTGATGATGAACTTTATCTTTACATCTGCAGATAACATTCATTCAGCTACAGTAATGCCAGGAAACAATGCAAAACTAATTACTGTGCTGCTTGAAGACAGCAATTATTCTATTCTTGAAACTAATGCATGTTTCCACAGTTCCAAAGTTCACACTTTTAAACCATGCATTGAAGGAAATCGGCAGCAACATCAAACGATAAATCCTGGAATATGTTAAACATTGGTTTTTCTCTCACTCAAGATTAACACCTATTTTAGAAATTTACATTATTAGTTTAACAAGGAGTACATTCAAGATGGGAAAGTTTCCAGATGCTTAGGGATGTGTTCCATAGTAAAAATGATTTGCACAGAATCAATGTCTTATTATGCCCCAAAACGTTGTACAGTCAGTGCAGCATTTTAATAAATGAAACCCTGTTGTTATAGGCAATTGGTAATTTGAGAACAAATTTCCACAAATGACAAAAAAAATTAACATATATGGTCATCGGTTCAGGGAGAAGGTCCACTGTCAACTTCTTTAAGCAAATAGAGATTGGAAATAAATGCTGCTTCCACCATACCTTTCACATTCCAAAAACAAATAACTTTGAAACTTCAGATTGTAGTCTCTTATTTCAGGTCGACATTTTGGCCTGGTTATCAAAAGAATTCCTTGTTCTTCTCTAAGAAGCCCATTCAAGCATGCAAGGGCACAGTTTTACATCTCATACAAAGACTTCAAAGATATGTTTAGCCATTGTTTTGCCATTCACCATCATTACTTCAGAGCAACTGACAGCCATTTCGGGAGTCCACACATAAGGCGGAACTTTATATATTCTGCAGCAGCAGTAGCCAAGTCCACTTAATCGCAGAAGCGGCCCAGAGGTGGGTAAACTCTCTTCCCCACCCCTCACGTGCCACCAAAGCAAATCAAATGGTGAAAAGGAATGCCACAAGGTTCCCAGACAGCAGCAGTAAGATGCTGGAGTAAATTACTACAGATGTTGGAATCTATACAGAAAATCAAAAATGCTGGTGATCACAGCGGGTCAGGCAGCATCCATGGAGAGAAAGCAAGCTAATGCTGAGTCTAGATGGCACTTCAGAGATAAGCAAGATGTCAATTAGGCTCATTAACAAGCTATTTGGTACCCATTATCCCCCAAGCCCATTGCAATTTAACAGATGACTTCAGAGATCGAATGGAGACCATAAGGATCTCCAGCACCCTCAGAAGGTTGCCTGCAGACAAGTTTGCTGACAGTTTATTAGGCATATACACCGATCAAGGGACCCACTGTCAGGCACAGGGATGGCTGCTGAGAGCCACCCCTTGGGCCTTGCGTCTTCTGCCCACCCCCCCCCCCCCCACCCTGTATTTACTCACATGCGGCCTGATGTTTCTCTGCAATCCTGGCCAGTGGGTGGCGCAGTTCTGCTGACAGCCACCACTTCTATTAGTAGCAATTACTAGCTGTCAGGTTTTGGTTGGTTAGGGGAGGGTAGGGAAGAGAATGCTTAACTTCTTCTACCAAGAACCTCAATTTCAGCAAAGACTCAACAAGGCCAAGTAAGTGTCTCACAGCCACTTCATTGTATTGGACCCTTCCTCAGTGGAACGGCCAGGCATTTCACATCGCTTCTCTGAGCAGCAGGAAAGACGGAACCACAGACATACACTAAATAAAACAGAAATGTATAAGTTGGTGTCCTCCCTTTGTCAGAAAGCTACTAAGATTCCCTGTGGTTCAATACATGTCCTTTTATGCTTTGTTAAAATTCTCAAGAAGTCACACCTTGTTGAGTGAGGCATAACTGGGTTCTTAGGGGCATAACAAGTTTATTATTGCTAATCACACACAGTGGCCCTGAAATGATAATTTTACATTTGTGAAATGTCAAATTTCTCCACTTTATATAGATTTAAGGTTTTATAAAGTAAAAACTCTCTACTCTAGCTTGGTTTATTCCAATCAAAATCATTTATTTTGGTATCAATAAATGTAAGATAACATTTGTTCAGTGCTTTTAATTTTCAGGTTTACAGTATGAGAATACTTCATCTTTTTATTTAGGCCTTCAAATCAAGGACAGCATTTGTTGCTCATCTCTAATTGTCCTTTCAACTGAGTGATTGTTCGATCAATTCATAAACAATTACGAGTCAAATGTATTGTTATGGATGTGGAGTTACATGTAGGCCAGACCAAGTAAGGACAATTGAATTCCTTCTCTGAAGGACATCGGTGCACCAGATGGGGCTCATTAATGTGACTGGCTGATCACTCTGCTTGGTAGGGCCCTCTTGTTACACAAGGGTACAGTCCTTACCCCTGGACTCAGAGACCTGGGTTCAAGTCTCACCTGCTCCAAAGGTGTGTAATAACATCTCTGAACATGTTGATTAAATAAAAATACTCTGCTTGATGACCACTATTGATGGGCACCTGCAGACCCCCTTGACTTGGCACCAGATTTGAACCAACATCAAAACAGTGGAAATTCACCAGAGGGAAATCGTTAAA